TATTAAAATCAATTCTAAACTATACTGGGAGCCAGTGCAAAGAGGCTGAAACAGCAGGGATGTGATACATAGCATATCTAAGTACAGGAAAGGAGGAAGTTGATCGAGGGTTGCTCAACTGTTATTGGAGCACAGAGCAAAAAAGGGGTGGGATTTAGGAAGGGTCAATTGTGGTCAATTGAAGCAACTGTGGAATCATGGTAACTTTCCTGAGTTGTAAAATCCCGTGTCAGAGGGCTATAAACTGCTGTGGAGTGTTTTAGCTTCTGATAAGCATTCAAGCTCATGGATCCGTCCCCCCCCCCACCTTTTAAAACATAGGACTGTTTTTGGTCTAAATACTTTAAAATACATATTGCAAGACTAAAAACAAATTTTCTAGCAGTCTTGCTTTACTTCATTTTTTTGCACAAAACAGCGGTGGTCACTCTTTAGTGCCCAAAGAAGTGAAAATCCTTAATATTCCACAAAACAACAAGACACAGTTGTATCCTCAATGATATAATGGCTCCCATATGGTGATGACAGTGACAGGACAAAAAACAACCCACAGTTCTCACCTGAGGACTGTGCAGGTCTGTGGTGAGCATAATGATGGAGTACGCCAGCACGTAGGCAGTGTCTGCACTGGCAAACAGAGTCTGTCTGTAAAACAGTAAGACACATATCAGGGCAACAGTTAGCAGCTGCACTGCTCAAATGTTTGTTTTGTGTTTGATTAAATGAGAACTCTTGGGACTAAAAATAAAAATGCAGCAATAAATCTAAGGTGGGCCTTACCCCTGGTTGCACTCTAGGTATCGAGCAGCAAACTTCTCCATCAGCCTGTCAATCTTCTGGGCCTCGCCAGGCAACCGGAAACCTTCCAAGAACGCTCTGAGTGCCGAGACAAAGTCCCGTCCGCAAAAGTCCAACTGGTCCACGTAGCAGTACATCACTTCTTTATTGAACTTGATGTTCTCGCCCAGGTACTCTCCCACCTGGGTCTGTGAATGCAGAGGTACAGCGGTTGGGGGATTACTAACTTTTTTGTTGCTTGAGAACACAGTGTTAATAATTAATCTAATTTTAAATTTGTGTGTAATCCCTCACTGTGTCCAGTCTGTCCTCCTGGTGTAGGAACTGGGCGATGTCCTCGGCCGTGGTACCCAGCATGCCCTGGTCCTGCAGGTACTGGATACCTCGCTTCGGCTTCTTGTTGAAGCTGGGGAGAGATCAGAGGAAAATCTCTATCTTTTCTAACTAGGAACAGAAAGTATATAAGCCAGCATTTTCCACAATCAGGGACCTGTTACATTGATAAAGACTGATCCTAATTAATTGCAATGGAAATCCTGAGGCTGAGTAAAAAAGGGCCTCACAGTTCGATGCCGTGCTCGATGATGTCCTTCTGCTGTTTGATAACCTCGTACTGCTCTGGATGGTCCGCCTGGGAGCTCGGGACGCTGGAGGAGACGGTGGAGTCCAGCGAGCTGATGCTGTCTCGACGTCCCGCCAGTTGCTCTGGAAGCTTCAGCTCTCCTGCCTCACTGTCAGATGGATGCTCCTGGCCTGCGAACATTAATCATATATGTGTAAACATTCCCCCTCTCCTGTACATTGTTCTCATATTTACTGCACACTACACACTTACCAAGGTTAGCTTGAAGGTTCGGATTGACATACATGTCTTTGCTCCACTCCACCATACATTTGAGGATGGACACCAGACACTCCAAACCCTTTTTACGAAGGCTCAGCTCCTGTGGATATTAAAGAACACACACTTCCATGTGTAAGTGATGTTACACACGAGACACAACTAGAAGCTATGGCCAGAAGGGTTCTGCCTCACTTTGACCACATTACAACTGGAAACTTAAATATGAAACACTGAGGAGTTATGTTTGTCTCTGACCAGAAAGATGAAATCAAATCCTGTGCTCTCATGGTGTTGCACAATCGTGACACTGAATCCTTAAGTGTACCTGCAGAGGAGTCATCCCAAGCTCCTGACCACTCCTGCCCTGAGCAATCTTTGACAGGTCGTTGACGAGGCGCTCAAAGATGTTGGCGGCATTCAAGTCACAGTCGTAGTTCACGTATATGTCAACCACGCACTGGGCATCTTGGGTGGGAAAAAAATGTACAACAAAAGCTTTTAAATTGTAATCTTAAGATAACAGCAGGGTGATAATATACTGTTGGCTGAGGAAGTAATTACAATAATGGCTTAATTTGCAGCACTTCTCAAATGTCTACTTGAAGTTTTCCTGCATAGAGAATTTAACGGTGACTGCTCACATGCTGGGTCATCTTTACCAAAAGCAGACCATGGTGAAACAGTAAAACGTATTGAAGACCTTTGTGTTAAATGCATCACTGCCAACTCAAGTAACAACTGTGGAATCACTCCAGGGCTGCACAAGCAGACAAAGACAACATGGCAGGATGATACACTAGCTAATGCATTATTTTCAGTATCAACATTTTGCAAAGCATTTTTTGAATATTCATGTTACTGGTTACTTTTACTGCCACCAACTGCCCTCTACAGTCAGCAGATATCTTGATTATGACACCGTTGTGCTCATGGTGTGCATGTTACTCATGCTACCAGAGCAGGAAAAAAATTTGACATTTTTGATCAGTGCCAGCAGCAATGGTTACAACTACAGCCTAGTCATGGGAAGAAATGAGAAGCAGCTACAACTTTCAGTCACACACCTTGTAATGCAAATATAATGGCAATTTTTCATAGTGGTCTCATGTCTGAATGAGTCACTTTTACGTTGAAGGTCTTACAAGGTCTGACCTGTAACATTTCTGTAACACTTCCAACACAGCACACATCTGAATCGAATGCGGTTAAATTAACATAAAGGTTACAGAGAGAGATTAAATGCACATCTTGTTCCAATTTATTACGATCACAAGTATTACATCGTTTGCTCAAAGCAAGTTTCCAGCTGCACGGATGGATATATCAGGACCAATGTCTTGGTATTCAATGCTTGTTCACTCTTGGATATTATAAAATAGGCAACAGAGTTTTCAATCTAATAAATTATTAAATTGATGTCATAGTTTAGATTTGAGCGTCCCTCGCGCTCACAGCAGTCATTAATTAAGGCTTCTACAGCAAAAATGTTTAAATCCATCAGTAGTGCAGCCTGTGAGAAAACAGAAAATACTCTTCTACCTGCATCTTTTTAGTTATTGGTTAGGTTATTTGTTAGTTTTAGTTTGAGAAAAACTTGTATCAGTGGTACCTGCACAGATGCGTGTTAGTGTCTGGATAACCATCCACTTGTGCTCAAAGGAGCTGGTCGTTGTCTCCAGGATAGTCAGAAAGATTTCTCGGAAAAACACCTGACGCAAGGTGGACGAAAAGGAAATGAAATATTAGTGTGACTCTTCAATCAAACTGCATGTTCAAAAATAAAGTTTTAAAATTGTAACAACAGGTACATTTGTCTCTTCAGTCTCTCTGCCAGACAAACTAACTATGTTCTGTACCTCAATCTGCATCTTCAGGTGGACTTTGAAGTGGGAGAGCAAGGTGAGGAAGATAGCCAGTGAGAGCTCAAAGACCTCAGGCACAGAGGAGACGCCATTTTTCGACAGCGCCACGCACAGATACTGTTTGATGGCGTTGACAAACATCTCATGGGTGCGAAACACCGGCCCTGCGCCCTGCAGCACAGAGAGCAGCAGCTGCAGGGAGACAATCTTGGAACGCAACTCATGGGACCTGCAGAGGAGAGTGTAAATATAAAAGGAAATGGACATCTGAAGAGGTATTTTTGGAACATGCTCAGTAGAAATTGATTTGGCTTTATGCCCCATCAATAAATAGTGTTCCAGTTAACTCTAAGTTGAGGGAAACACAAGATACTTGGGTACAATGGTGTTTCATCTTTGTATTTATTTAATGTAGGTCAGCCTGACTTCTTTGTGAGCTTCTTCCGGGCTCAGTTTACTCTGGCCTATTCACACTGACCGGCTCAGGGTCTAACGTTACAGTAACTAGAGATGACAGAGCCACACCAGGATGGAAAAGGGCAAGTTAACCTGTGGAGACTGAGATGAAGCAGTGTGTAAGCCAAAGGGATCTATATTTATTTCTACAAGCTGTAGCATGACAAAAAGAGGTTGCTACATAAAAGACCTGAGGAGCAAGACTGTTGATGATTTATGACTTATGTTCCGTGTTACCATCATATGAAATTATTCTAGATGTCAGGATGTTAGAGGAAACTTTTTAAAAATATCTTCATTGTGTGACGTAAAAAGATATGTGGCCAACTGAGATAAGGTCAGAGTTAGAAGGACTGGTTATGCAACTTATTGTGGTTTAGAAGTAGGGATGGTCATATGAACAAATAACAGTTTTTGCAGGTTACAGCATGTTAAATTTAACATTTAACATTTTTTAAGGTAAGATCTATTTTACATCTGTACTGGCAGAACAATATAAAGGATATAAAGAAAGTCTGTATTGGTTCCATGTCGATCTTGTTTTGTAGTTGTTGCAGCATGATCAATGCAGTTTTCCCCAAATACAGATTTAAAAGATTGAAAACTTTATTAACTTTTAAGACCTGTCTAAATCATATTTAAGACATTCTGAGGGATAAAATTCAGATTATTGGATTTAAGGCTTTTTAAGACCCCACAGAGGCCCTGAAATCAACACTCACTTTGGGTCTGGAGGTCCATCAGCAAGGGGCTTCATGGAGAGTTTGCACAAAGAGCGGAACACCAGAAAGGCGTCTTTCTGCAGGATGTGAGAGAAACGGGCGGCACTGTGGGGTCCCTGCAAGGCCTCAGCATCCTGAGACAGATAAAGAAAGGCAGTCAGTCAGGACCTGAGGCTGGAGTTGAGAATCTTAAAACGTTTCTAATTTTCTTTAATATTGTGCTCATCACACTCTTGTAGCAGCGATGCATTTCACTACTTACTACTTTTCTATCATATTCCAAAACTGGAGTTGGCATTCTCTCTTAGCATTACTAACCTTCAACTTGCTCACTTGTCTGAGAAGTGTGACTGATGAGAGGAACTAACCAGCGTTGATGCTGGACAGTTTTTCTTGATAAAAATTAAAGAAGTGGAATATTTCTACATAAAGGAAGTAAGCTTTATGGCATGTCTCAAATGTGCAAAACAGATTTTTAGTAGGTGGGGCGGCCTGCAGACTTACACAAGTGTAACAGCGTATGTGCACACATTTACAAATGTTGACAGCATACAAAAAACACCACAACATTTTGAGTCAAATTCCATAAACCCTAAAGATTTTATAGACATTCTTTGGATGTATAAAACCTCTTAAAGCAAAAATGAATTAAAGGCCTGTCCCATATAGATGCCTGGCAGATTGAGTTCAGTGACTGAAGCAAACAAAAGCCCAGGCTATTGATTGAAGTTTTACAGTAGATGAATAAATAGCACTACAGGTAAAAAGTAAACATGTGTTTTTATTTTGGTGTGAACTGTCCCTTTAAAACACAACATAATACTGCATCCACAAGCACTTTAAGCTCAACTTTATCCATTTTTTAGAAGTTAAAATGTTATTTCCACTCTGTTTCACTCAGGCAACCCGGGGAGGCTGCAGACCCATTAATAACTAATGCTATCAACACTGCTCACCAGCATATCTGTGGAGGAAACAGAAGAGCGGTCCTCGATGATGCCGTTCATCTGCTCCCTCTCTGTTCTGACTCTGGGGGGAGCCACCTCTGTCTGCTCAGTGACAGGGTGGGCTGGGTGCTCACCTCCTGGAGGAGAGGCCAGAATGGACATTTTCATTTTCAAATGTATTGATATTTATCAGAAATAATAAATATAGCACAGACACATAGGTCCAGACCTGTTCCACTGTGTATCTGTGTTGGCTGATGCTCTCCCTCCTCTCCTTCAGTCACCTCTGACTCTGCCGGATTTGGGTTGCTCTCTGGTTTGTCTCCTTCCTCAACTGGCTGAGCAGCTGTAGGTATCTCCACAACTTCATCTTCAAAAACTGAATCTGATGTAAACAAATAAACAGTGTGAAGAGTCATGAAGATTAAATCCACAGTTTAGACCCTCCTAAAAGAGTTGTAGGGAAAACAAATAAAAACATTTTCAAAGCTTCATTTAAATTGGAAGTTAAAAGTCAAACAGTTGGAGGCCCAAGTTGACACATACCTCTTGATGGTGTGACCGGTTCTGCTCCTCCATTCATCGGAGCATTGCTGCCCTCGGGTTCCCCATTGATTGATGGTGTGTCTGCCGCTTGGTCCTGGTCCTGGTCCTGGTCAGGGGCCCTTAGTTGAGGCATGGAGCCTGTGGCGCTGGTTGTAGTGAGGTCTGGAGAACTGGCTGCTGGGGACGGGGAACTCTGGGGGTCTGGAGTAGGCGTCCGGTCAGACCGGGGTGAGCCGCCCCCCCGGTTACCAGGGACTGGGGACGGGTTCTGCTGGGGCAGACGGAGCCGGTCCTTCTCCTGCTCCTGAGCCTCCAGAGCCTGCAGAGGCAGCAGAAGGAGAAGAGGACTTGTTACATACAAAAGAATGTGGCTGTTAGAGAATTGAAATAAAAATAATAAGGATAAAATGTCCATTATTATACAGATTATTCATAACCTAAATTCAAACCCCAGTGATGAGCCTGTGCTTCCACAATATTTAAATTACAACTTAAGGAACTGAATCACCAAAGTCTTCACTGTTGTTCAGCAGGTCCAGCTCTGACTGCAACCACAGCAACCACCGCTGTAGCTATGGTTGTAGGCCTGCATGCAGACTGATCACTGAAACTAAAGTGGATCGACTGTTGCGGTTTATCAGGGTTATCAGAGTTTCAACGACAAAAGGGTTCATGTGTTTTATGTTTACAGTTTGCCAACTAGATGTATGGTTTCTGCACATTTCAAAAGGTTAAATTTACTTTAGAAACTTTATTAACACCATTTAAGACCAATTTCTTTTTTTTTGGCAGTGGTTCCATGCTGGTTTCATTTTTGGTCCAAAGCAAGAATGTTAACTTCATTAATGCAATCAATTTTAAAGAATCATATTTAAGATCCCTTGTGTAAAGTAACATGGTTGTGTTAATTCTATTATTAGTTAACATTAGCACAGTTATGGAAGGTCATAAGTTTGCATCTTTATAGCTAATGTTAAGATAGTTAGCATAAGCTAATTATTGTGACTGTAACGATCACCTCCACAGCCACAGAGCTTGGCCTTCATGTTGTTGCACTTGTGCAGCCAAGAAATCTTTGTTTTGCTTCTGTTCTGCTTCTGTTCAGTATGGGTATAGATATAATATTGCTTAACAGATATCTTATTTTTTGATGACTTTACTGAAAAAACTACTGAAGTACAGTACAGGAAGACAAACTTGTAAAGTCCATTTAATTCAAAAGCAGAGTGCAGGGAAGAAAGCCAAAAGTGAAGTCAGCTGTATGGATATACGCAATGCAGCGATGCACAGTAACAAAGTTAAACTGAACTAACAGCCTGGTTCTCCATGCGCGTGAAGATCACGTTGAGCATCTGTGTGAGTGTGGCCTTGGCGGTGGTCTGGTTGATGAGGTTGCGGCTGGCCAGGTAGATGTTGTAGCAGGTCCTGACTGTGAGGAGCACCGTGCCCTCGTGGATCTCTATGTGCGGGGAGGTAACCGTCGTCAGCAGGGCCTGGACAGAGAGAAAAGGAAGTCAACAGTTATCAGAACAGACATGTTGTTCACAAGATGCTGCTGCTGCACCTGCTGAATCACCACCCAACTTCCCTACTTAGGGGGCGCGTTAAAGCCACAAATGTGTGGTTCTCATGCTCTGCTGCTGAATTGTTTGGTGCTTGTTGTCCATTTTAAATAAAATGAGTTTCAAATTAAAGAAAGATTTTTAGAAAAATGTCCACATGGCTGATTCATTTACATATTAGTTTTGTGTTAGTCAGACTAAACGCTGCGCTCACATCCAGGTCTCCTTCAGCGGTCAATGTTATCCAAACAGATATTGTTAATCTGTCCTATAAATCTTTTGTCAACAGTCATAAAACTGCATGCTTCTTACAACAGGAGAGACTTTGCCCTTTCCAACCAACCAGGATGTGTATTTCATTCAGAGGAAACTTCAGTGAGAGGCAGCTATGAATCACACCAACTGTGCAAACACAAGGCGTGTTTTCAAGCCAAAGAAGTGACCAGGAAATGTGAATAAATGTGATAAAAATTAGGATTTAGTAAATGGCTGAACCTTTATGTAAAGTTGATCCTTTCTCTTTTAGATACATTAAGGTACAACAAATTTAGGATGTCAGTCTAAAAACCTTTCAAATGCATTTCTAGGAACAGAATGCGCTTTTATTTTAAGCTAAAAATGTTTGTATAATCATAATATTAAATGACGGGTTTAAGTGGCTGACAATATTTTATACAGACATTTTATATAACCTTTCTTCACTCCCGACTTAAGATGAGACATGTAGAAACTGATTTTCTCCACTGCTATGAACCGTGACTGAAAGCTCTCAAGCAAGGAGGACTGAAGTGTCTCAGAGCTCCATGTTTCACCTCTTTGGCTCTCAAATAAATAACACTGACAGCTGGAGGATCTGAAGGCTGCCAGATGTACAGTGAGGCGCTGGGCTTACCTTTATGATCTGTAGCTGGACTCCCTCGTCGGTCTGCGGGCCCTGAAAGCAGTTGCAGATGGTTTCCACCAGCCGGTCTATCAGCCTCTTGCCCGGGGTTCTGCTGTCCGGGGCGTTGCCTGTGATGTGGCCGTACGCGATGAGCTTCTACCAGGGAGAAACAGCGCACAGGTTAGAGCAACAGAGGCAGATTCTGTGTATTTCTCTCAGGAGTTTGGGGTCTTTGTGTTATCTAGAGTCATTTTGTGGAGTGAAACGCACAGATCGTACTGCACATGTTAGTTTAGGGATTATTTCAGCTGTGCTTGAATGTGAGAAACAGAAATTCAGGGCACATTTTAAAGTGGGCAAGTGGGCACTTAATACTTATTTTCTGGCAAATTAGTATCGCACATTTATAAAGTTTGGGAACTTACCAGAGACAAATTTTTAAAAAGAACTGTCAAAAATCAACCGCGCAGAGCCTGAAATATTCTGACTTTTAGTATCAGGTACAGGTCAAGTCAAGAAATGCTACATTTCCCATAATGCAGCTCAATAGCATCCTTCAATAGACCCTCCCTGCCCAGTACAGTAAACACTTATGTGTTTCAAACTCCTGCCCCCACTTCATCAGGGTTATTGTGTCAAACTTTGGAAAGCTCCCATCAGAGCTACAAAATACAACGTACAACTGTCTTCAGGGGCTGAGAGTAGTACTCTCTGTGATGAGTTAACTAAACTTGGTGTTTAAAATCGGTGGAGAACTGCATTATCCTTTGCGTTAACATATCCTTGTTGTCGAGAACAAACAATTGAAAAGGTTGTAGCATGCATGCACCTGCGTAGAAAACAGTAACTCCAAAAAAGATAATTTTGTCTGGATGGACGATGAAGTGGGGATGTTCAGAGTGACCCTGCACAGTAAGGCATCCGATCAAGAAGTGATTGGGAATTATGCCAGTTGAAATAAACAGATATTTTGGAGGCACGGTGCATGGCTATTGCCTGAAAACCTTATAGTCATGCACAAAGTGGGGCCGTGCCGTCACCGTTTCTCACAGCAAACACATATTGCCACTTTACACAGGGATGGTAAGCGTTTCCAAAAGATTTCACTCTGGAACCCGGTTTGAACATTTTTCAGGTCCCCAAAATGGTGTTGTCATGTGAATGAAAGGCCAAGCCGCAACAAAAGCAAAAACTGCAGTTGTTGTGTAAGCAGGGCCATTGTTGAATTGGTTATTTTCGATCAGTTTTCAAGACCAGGTGCCACTCCATGCCCTGCTTTAGAAACAAATGAAATCCTCAATCTATTCTACAGTGTATTTCAGTAACATTGGTTTGGGTTAAAACAGTTACATGTTAGAAAGCCTTTGTGGCAGATAACTTGGGCGCCTGGCCAATCGTAGCACTTGAATGCTAGACAGGGCGTGTGTTGACATGAAAAGCAGTGGGATCCTTAATAATGGAAGATGTGTGTGTGTATGCTCCTCCAAGACTCAACTTTCTTCCCATAAGTAGCACACTGGTTGTACTTAATGGATTATAACAAATGTGACCACAAACATGTAGTTTAGGGAAGAGATTAACGGATAGATTGTGCGTGTGGAATGTAGAGCCATTGTTCTAGGTGCACATTAGACATGTGGAACAGGTGTAGCAAGATTTCACCTCCACCGCTGGCCACCACCAGATGGTTACTATAACCAAAGAAATTCTTCCTGTGAGAAAGTGAAAGTTGTGAAGGAAGCAGAAAAATGTATAGTTTATTTAAAGTGCACAAGCCAGTGTGTGTGTGTGTGTGGTGAGTGTGAGTATTAACCTGCAGACAGTCCAGAGAGGTGCTGACTATCCGGGGGGACTTTGACTGACAGGCCAACTCGAAGGGCAGCACGTATTTGTCAGCCTCGATGTAGTTGGCCCTGGGTGGGACCACTGTGCCATCCCTGCAGGGGTGAGAGGAGAGCAGACAGCTGTTTGAACTGGAAAAGCCCCAATTACAGCAGCCTGCTATAAACACACTGCTGGCTCATATAGAAACACACTGAAGGTCCCATTGAAACTTAACTGTAACCCCAGTGGATTATGTGAATAGATAACATGCCGTGTAAAACATTTTACTGTGCGTCATATTTTCATAGTGCAAATTTTTACAGAGCATTTAAGCTTTACCTTTAAAGCTTAGAAAAGCATAATGGCATTAAGATAAGGGCTTTCCTATAGCGGCAGATAAATTACCTGAAGGGCCGCTGATATACTCCAAAGCAGCAGTTTTAAAAGCAGCAAATCACCTTAGTCACAAATCACAGTGAGCAGACTGCTTCAGGGAAAACTTTACTTTCTCAGCTTTTTGCCTCACGTCACAAGAAAGGGGGAAAAACCCCACAAATCACCTGCTGTGAATTCATTCTTTCAGGTGGAAACGTGTGTGCATAACAGTACTTACTTTTGTTTTTCAAGCTCTGCCTTGATTTCATCTATGGAGGAGACACAGGAGAGGAAATGTTATTGGAGTCTGAACTTTGACCCTTTCAGCTCACAGCAGTGACATGATTTGACTCTAGATCCAGGGGTTACTGGGCCAATCACAAAAATCTGACATGACAAAAATGACGCGTTTCCTTGCATTTCAGCTGGTACACAATGATGTTATTAATCAAAATATACTCATGTAGGATTTAATTTGAGACAACCCTTATTTATTTATTTCTAAATTACATTTGGTTGAACTGATCAGCCTCCCTCTGATCTTTGGTCTCTGTCATTCCCCACATAAACATTCCCATCTGTTCTGCTATCTAAGCTGTTCTCACTGAATCAATGTCTTCATAATTTTTATCCCACATTGATCTGTGCAAAGCTGTACACACACACACACACACACACACACAACCAAGCGACCCAGCGTTGCGGCCTTGGCTATGCAGTAAGTAATGGTGTGCATTCAGCCAGATGTGACCGACCAAATAGATTAGATTCACACAATGTAGCAGCGAATACTTCCAAACTCAACTCTCACAAACTCTCCATATTACAGGGCTACGCAGAGGAAATGACCTTGTGCAATATTCACCACAAAATGTCCCAATCGCTGTTATGGTGATGATAGATTTTAAGTATTGTAAGACGTTTCATTTTATGTCAGAAAAACATGAGCTCAGTTCTCTTCTCCACTGTGTATAAATGACTGCTGGACCAAAATGTAGCACAGTATTAATAATATTCAGGCTTTTTAAAAAAAAAAAAAAATCATGTAGTCACCAAGCTAAGCTCTGGTGTTTCACTTAAAAACAGCTATTATTAACGGGTATTAGCGACTAATCTCTCTCTTTGCACTGCATGTCTAATTAATCATGGATGCAACAAATAAAAAGGGCTGCGGTCCACAACTTAACAACTTATACACAATAGAGCAACAGGGAGGTTGTGGCACTGGGAAAGATGAGATGTTCCTGACCCTTGCATGGACTTTACCAAAACATCACACAGACAGTATGACAATGGGGCACACGCAAAAAAGTCTACACTATAGTGACGGAGTCAGTGAGGAGTCAGTGAGGAGTGTTGTGTTCTGCAGGTCTCATGAATAATGAGAGAGTGTCACTGGCAGACGGAGCAGAGAGCAGACAAAGCAGCTCAAACACACCGACCTGTTCGCCTAGCTCTCTGTGACATTTCTGTATTTGCAGTCAACGCTGTGGTCAAACAGCTTAACTGTACCTTAATAATAAAGCACAACTTCTGGTTTGCCAATTGCTCAATCGCCTGCATTAAGACTGAGAGAGGCACTGTGCTAAAAAACAAACAAAAAAACCCACCATCAACTAACAACTAACCGGATCTGATTACACCAGTCCAGAGAATCAAGAGCTTTACACGCCTCGATACCACCGAACCACATACTGATGTACTTATTACGACAACAATGTGCAGGTGGGAGCACACAAATGGGCTGGAGCTGAAATATAAACAGCAATAGCACGACGAGGTGAACAGCCTGCCGTGTGTAACACTATATCCGTGATTGTGTTGAGTGGAAAAGCACGGACGTCAGAGTATCCTGGAGTTGGGTAGCCTGTGTGTCTGGGTGCAGAGCAGCACCGACGGTCTGGCTGAGTGACAGCGCTACGTACAACACGGGGATTGGTCTGTTCAGCTCGCTAACCTAGCCCTGACGAGCTAACGCCAGCTGCCTATTAGCTCGTCTCCCTTCCGCCGCTGACAGTGAGGGTGGTGGGGTGAAAGGCAGGCCGTTAGCACTGCTGGGTTACAATAAGATGTAAAAGTGACGCCCACACACATCAGCTAGCCTGTAAACGTCAACGGGCAGCTGAACAGACGATGGAGGCCACTCAGATGCTAACGCTGACGCTAGCTAGCTGTGTAGCTCAGCCCTGTCTCCCCACAACAAGCCAGACACGACCGAAATGTTTCAGTGAAGCACTGCATTAAACACGGGGCCCGGCGAGCCCATGTACAAAACAAACCCACTCACCCAGCGCCACCTGACAGGCTTTGCGCAGCTGGCTGTGCTGGCTTCTCTTCACCTCCTTATCCGAGAGGATTTTCTCCAGCGCCCGAGACAGAAACATGCTCTTGGTTTTACTGTTTTCTGCCTTTGACTGCGAGTGTTGCTGCTGCTGTGGTGGCCGCTGTTGTTGTTGCTGCATCTCTCGGTCTTGTTACCGCTCCTCTCTCAGGCCGTCATCTTCGGCCTGGCCCTGCGAATGAGCAGGTGACAAGGGAAGCTAACGAAAGCCAGGCTATCGGTGTCAGTCCAGTGCTACTTCAGCTCAGCGCCGCCATGCTGCTTACACGTCACGTCACGTGATTCTCAGCTGTCTGGGTTTTGACTACAGCACCCTGGGGGGTCGCGAACCTCCCATATGGGGTCATATAGTCATGTAGTTAGCTCACAGAAATATATATGCCGTCTAAGGCCGGCATGATGAAACGTGGCTGGTTAAATATAACGTCACCATTGAGGAGGTTTGAACGTTTCAACCGTTACGCGAATGGAGCAACAGTTCGCCGTTTTCCCCGCTGTAGCAAATCAAGCGCTCCCGAGGAAAAGACGCAGTTTCTGAAATGTCCTGCAGGTGGCACCAAAACACCACAATGGAGTTCAAGGCACAACTGTTCAGTTTAATCACATTTAGAGATGCTTTATTGGTCCCGGGGAGGAAACTGGTTTCGTTTCTTACTCAAGGTGCTCACAAGACATTAAATAAATAACAATAATAAATAAATAAATAGGTGTTATATTACATTATCTAACAACAATATATATAGAAAATAGAAAAAATCAAATAAAACAATAAAAAATAAATATTTAGAATATATGCAAGTATGTACATTATAATACAGTATATAGAAGATAGAAATATATGCATGCTACAGTATGACAGAAGTGTAATGAATAATGAATAAATAGTAATAATAGCTGAATCCTTAAAAAAAAATGCAGTACTGGTGACAGAATAAAACAGAGTATTGCACCTTAACCACAGTAACATTTCCAGGGCCAGTTTAATGACACTGACTCTTGAGTGTCTGACACTCTGAGGAAGGAGGAGTTGAAGAGTTTGATGACCAGAAACAGGAATGACTTCCAGTGGCGCTCTGTGGAATGACCCTTGCACTGAAAGTACTCGTGTTTGACCAGCTCCTTGTGCAGTTTGTGGGAGACATTGTCCAAAATGACACGTGGCGTGGACAGCATCCTCCTCTCTGACACTGCTGTCAAAGAGTCCAGCTCCAGCCCCACAATGTCACTGGCCTTGCAGCTCTTCAGGAAATAGAGACGGCTCTGGCCCTTCCTGTAAAGGGCTTGAGTGTTGAATGGTATTGAATTCTTTGGAGTTGAAGGAAAGAAACAGAGCTGGCCATTTATATTTACAGTAATCAATACTGATCCCAATGTGATCACT